CTGCAGAAGATTTGGGTTTACTTCCAAGCACCCACATTGTGGCTCACTCTAGTCCATAACTCCAGTTTCAGAAGATTCAGTGCAGTCTGCAGGCTTCCTCAGGTACCATGAATCATGTTCATGCAGTACATGGACATATGTGTAGGCAAAATATCCATGCACATAAAATTCAAAAATTAAAACAAAGTCATGCTGGAGAAAACTATGGACAATGCCATAGTTGAACCTATAGGAGAAGCCAGTCTGTTGGTGATGGGGCTAAGGAGCATCATTTGTGAGACTCTGCTGCAGAATGAAGGGAACCTTACCAACTGAACTCAAGAAAAATATCTTCTGGACTCACCATGAGAGAATGTGTTCAACATCTACTATACACATACACGAAAGTGTAAAGAAAGACTGTAGGCAGCTGACTCAAAGAAGTAGGCCTACTCCTGAAGCTTCCAGACCCAGACTGCAATGCCGTCATTTTGTGTGGATGACAAGGGGATGGCATCATTTTATTTCCCATTTTCTCTCTCACTCTTATCCCACTACCCGCCCCCCTGCCCCGTGTGTGTGTGTGTGTGTGTGTGTGTGTGTGTGTGTGTGTGTACACTTGGAAGCCTGAACAATCATTCTCTATCTCTACCTTATTCATTGCGACAGTCTCTCTCAATCAAACTCCAAGCTCCCCATATAGCCAGTTTTGATAATCAGTTTTCTCTGGGATCTCCTGTTTCTGCCTTCCAAGGTTGGCAGCTACAGGCAGGCCACTGTGCTCACTCAGTATTTTTATCGTTTCCTGGGATCTGAACTTTGGTCTTCACACTTGTGCAGCAAGTGTTTTCACCATTAAATCATATTTCCAGCCCGACGGCTTTTGCCTGGTGTTTACAATGGATGGACAGCGGAGTCAAATAAACCACACCAACTACTGATCAACAAGATGTCTAGGTTCCACCAAAAAGGATCATATTTGGATCTACATTATCATGCAAGCCAGAAGCTGAGTTCACCAGCTAAGAGCTCGTTAGAATGCTATGTAGAGTCACAGGGGAGTACAAAAGAGGCAACTTAAGAACCTGTTCGTGTGCTCTGCAAACCTTTAAAGAAATCCATATCCCCAGTTCCTGCTCCTGCTGGTCGCCACATCTTAGGAAGAACTAATGTCCTCACTGCTTATAGGCACCGCAGCTATGAGAGAAGATACAAGGGGGTGAGGGGAGGCTTCTGAGAAATAGCTGAACAGGACCTGAAAGACCTGGTTTCTCTCTGATAGAGGCAGACGTGGAATTCCTAACCACTCAGCTTTTCCAAATTGGCCTCTGCCTCCATGAAATGTGTGTTCTGTGCTAGGTTCAGAAAGAATGTTGGCAGTGGCGGAGTCGGAAGGTCTGAAGCAAGAATACTTGGATAGCTGACACTTTCCTTTCTGGGTGGAGGTAGGGTGGGGGTGGGGTCGATGCAGCTGTGGCCTCTGCAAAGCTGGCTAGCAAGGAGCCAGTGCAGTTATAGGGGAAAGGAGCCGTCTTCTTCCCCTGGGAGTGAGGCTGTGATGTAGGGAGCAGGGTCTGACAGACGTGCAGCATTAGCTTCAGGCAATTGGTAATAAAAAATTAGAAAGCAAGTATGATTTCTGTCTTTTTTGTTTCTTTGTAACACAACCCTTCCAGGGAAGGCAATGAATTCTTCTCCTTGCATGACCTTGTTCTGTTCCAGAGCTCCAAAGAGCACAAAGGTATCAACAAAGCACTTTCTAAAAGCTCCAATTCCAAATGTCAGAATGCTCCAAATCCACAAACACTTCTGCAGACATCCACTTCTCAAAAGCCTGTGTTTTGTTTGAACCTATTAGATATCCGAAGCTGCCCAAACAACCAGTATATGTTGACGGCCCTCAAATCTCCTGAGCTGGTCAACTGCTACCCTCATCCCCCATTTCACCAGAATCTCTACCAAAAGAAAAATGTGGGCAAATCTGTATTACTTTACTTCAACAGCTCAAGCATTTAAATATTTGAAGACAGAAGCATTTATCTTAAGTAACAAAAAGGACCCTTTTAAAAATCAACTACATTCTTTACTCAACCCTAAGAAATAAATATTTGGACTGATTTCTTTAAAGACAAAACAATGTTGGCTTCACCGTTAGGAAGAAAACTCATCTCTGTTTCGTCTTCTCCTTGCAGCTGGCAGATCCTGTTCAGGAATCAAACCGCTAGTCCTTCCTTTTTTGTCATAGTGTGAATTAAGAAGAAAAACATCCTCAAAGAAAAATGGATGCTACCAGCAGAAAACCCCAGGTTAGCCTGGCACCATGCCACCCTGCTTTGCCAGGAGGATACAGGCTGCTCTGCTGAATCTCCTCCAGCTCCTGTAACCCGAGAAAGGTCAATACTGGCTGCTCTGGGGCACTACCCAGCACCTCTGCCGGCTTATTTAAGGACAGGCATGTGACTCAAGGCCAGATTTTGGTTGGCTGACTTCTTAGATCCATCTTCAAGAATCCTTTCTTGATGGAAGACCTGGCTTTAGCCAGCTATTGCCAGCTTTTGACCTTAAGGGTCCACTGGGACTAGTACAACCATAGTGGACCACGAAACCAAGAGCAAACAGACGGGGCGGAGCTGTGCCAAGGACAGGATCAGTTCCAAAGCCTTCAAGAAGCTCCCTGATTTATGAGACCTCTGGAGGCAAGACAGAAGCAAAGCCCGGGCTTTGCTTCCTAGTCAGAAGTCAGTCCTGTGTAGGAAGGCACACTGTTGTGTGTGCCTCACCTCAAAACGTCCTGACTACTGCTTCTCCAAAATACACTGTCTGCTTGGGCTTACTGAGGTGGTCATCTGTTTGCTGTAGCCAAACCATGCCTAAGCAGAGAGCCATCTGACCCTTCCTCCTGCTCCCTAGTCTCTACCCTCTGCCTTGCTTTAGGAAAAACTCTGGACCATGCCCCAAGATTAAAACCTTATTACCCGTGTTCTTCGTTAAGCACTGGCATTATCACATCATTCTAGAACTTTGCCCTTCCGTCTGTTTCCCTGCTCCCCACCACTGTAAGGGTGGCTGGGTAGGGAAGGGCCTCACCAGAGCCCTTCACAGTCCTGGTTAGTGGCTCCATTCTACCTCCTATGTCCTGCCCACTGCTCCTGGCACTACACACCAGGCATCTTACTATATTTTCCCCAGTACAAGCTGAAATCTTAATTTTTTTTAAATTGCATTTACTTATTTATTTTGGAGGGCCACGCATGTGGAAGTCACAGGACAATGTGTGGGAGTTGGTTCATCTTGGAGACCCTGGGGATTGAACTTACGTCATTAGGCGTGGGTGGCTACAAGTGGCTTTCCCAATGAACTATGTTAAGGACTCTAGATTGAACTTTTGACAAGGAACACGTGCTTTCTAAAAAGTCTCTCCTTCATCCTGTCACCCCTCGGGATGTGATTTAAGGGCCCTCACTTCTCTGGTGGCTCTCTCTCCTCAGCCAGTGTGCCAATTCCAGTCTTATTTCACCAGTTTCTCCCCATGATGAACTGCGTGGCCTGCATCCCATCTTCCGAGGAGGTCAGCCCAGACCCAAACCAAAGGGCAGCAGTGTAGCAGCAGGTCACATGGTTGGGTCCTCACACGGCACCCGATGCCTTTATACTCTCATGCCCTTCGTGGGCCACGTCTGGGCAGGGCCCATCTCTCAGTGCCTTCGTGTCACTGACCCAGCTGACACACATAAGAAGCCTGTTCAGTGTGGCCCCCGGGAGGCTCAGGCATACCGGGCCCCAGATGCTGGCACCACTGAGAAATGAGAGACAGGTCAGGAGGATGCCAGCCCACCAAAGGCTTACCACCGATGAAGTCACAGTGCTGTGCCTTTGGTGTCATGTCCCCACATGTCCTTGCCGCCAGTTGCTTTCTGGTCATGATGGGGTAGGTTGTTTCCTTCCCCATATCCTGTCACCCAGGACCAGAACAGCAAACCCAGCCAACCACAGTAAAAACATAACTTTGCTCCTTCATGTTGGTCTGCTTAGATATTCTGACAGTGAGAAGAAGTGAGGGCCAGAGAGCTCAGTGAGCAACGCATTAGTCATATTTCTTTATGCATATGGATCTGTTTTCTCAGCTGTGGTAGACTGGGTACTCAGAGTATGATACTGAGAACAGACACCATGGCTTTGCTACCAGTGGGGTCCTGGAAGCCACTGACCCCCCACTGTCTCTATATCCACCATAAAATCAGGGTCTAAACAGTGTCTGCCTTCTAAGACCATGCATGGGGAGACACACAGGAAGAACAGATGTGCCTCTGATGTAAGCTTTCACTGTGGACCCACTATTATTTCCCCAAGACCAAATCCCAAACAACACCTCATTTCATGTCTGCAATTCTCAGCTGGTTAATCTTCAACTGAAAACATTTTTTTTTCATGTTTAAAGCTTATCGATTATACCACTTTTACAAATTTTGTTCTTTGTCAATTTCATGCATGTATAATGCAGATTCTGAATACTGTAACCCACCCCATAATCTCTAATGTCACTTACATCCCTATTATTTTCTCTGTTCCCTAAAGTTCCTTTTCCACATTTGTGTCTCTTCACTTATTTATTCTAGAGCCACCAAGTTTAACCAAGACTATCTCTGTGACCATGGGTTTGGAACTACCCATTGAGCTTGTTGGGGTCCTTGGTGAGTACGCAGCTGAATCCAGTGATTGCCCCTTCTCCAGAATCCATCAGCAGCCAATAGGGACGGGTGGGGCCCTGCAAGCCTCTCCTAAATCCATGCCTGACTACTGACAGGCCGGGTCTGTGCAGGCACACTGCCTGAAGCCACGCTGCCATGGGACACTGATGGCACTGGTTATGTCACATCCAGAAGACAGCATTGAGAAATCCTATTTTATATTCTGCTATTCTTGGGTTTAGAACTATATGAAGAAATCAATAAAAAGCAGAGAATTAAACCAAACCCCGTATCAGTCAAGATGGAGAGCACAAGTGGGAGCAGACTGCTCACCTGGTGGTAGGAGATGGGAACAGGCCTCCGGAAGACAATCCACTCCACGATTTCACTACACGGCGGGGTGGTCAAGGAGCCTGTGTACCGGTAGTAGCTACCCAGGGACGCGGGCAGGAGGTCTCGGAGGACGAAAGGATCCAGGAAGGTCTCCTTCTCTGTTTGGGGAGGGGGGAGAAGATCACAACAGTATCATGTATCACAGCATGCCTCTGATACAGAGCTCAAACCGCAGGCGCACTCAGATCCCACCTAGCCTGTCCCTCGGAAGCACAGCCACCTGGTGGCAGGAGGACCTCAGAAAATGAGGCAGGCAGCCAGCCGGGATGGTGAAGACAACAGTACCACTGCACTTCTTATAGACAAGGTTCTCCACGAGGGAGGCGAGGCGAGGCGAGGCGCAGCAGGGTGGTCCCTCCCACCCCAGGGATCAGAACACTCCTCGTGAAGATTCTAACAAGTGCTGCAGAAAAGCCCTTCCCAATCTTGCTCTATTTACCACAGAAGCCTTCTCTACCTAGCACCTATAAACTAACAACCAGGAGAGAAAAACATGGAATAAAATGAGACAATTGCGAAAACAAACAAAACAAATGAACAAACAAACAAAACCACCGATGCGCTAATGATACTAACTTCCCGAATGGGCCACTCCCTTTGCGATGAATTCAGTCAACCGATGCCTGTTAGTTTCCACAGTCACTTGACTGGATTAGAAACAACCAGGGCATTACCGAAGCACACCTTTGGGGGTGTCTCTGAGAATGTTTCCGGAGAGGATTGAATGGGGCAGGGGAAGCCCACCCACCGCACATGTGGGTGGTCCCACTACATGGTCTGGAGTCTAGGACTGAATAAAATAGAAAAAAAAAAGAAAGACGAAAACAAGCTGAGTGTTGGCATCCCTCCCATCCATTTTCTAGTCAGCTAAGACAAGAGCAAGCAATCTCATGACCCCACTGCCACAGCTGCTAGCAGCTCCCTGTAATGCCTCCCCTAACGTAGCGGGCTGTACCCTCAAATCGTGAGCCACAGCAAACCCTACCTCCCGCCAGTCAGAGATTTTCACAAGAATGAGAAAAGCAGCTGGGTGTGGTGGCACACGCCTTTAATCCTGCACTCTGGAGGCAGAGGCAGGCAGATCTCTGTGAGTGTGAGGTCAGCCTGGTCTACAAAGTGAATTCAGGACAGCCAAGGCTACACAGAGAAACCCTGTCTCAGAAAAAAAAAAATGATGTGGGGGGAGGGGTGACTTATTGGTTAAGAGCACTGGCTGCTCTTCCAGAGGACCCGAGTTCAATTCCCAGCACCCACATGGCAGCTCACAATTGTCTGTACTCCAGCTCTGGGAGATCCAACACCTTCAGACCAATGAACAGAAAATAAAATTAAATAAATTGATTTTAAAAAATCGATGAGAAAAGGGGAATTATTCAAGGCCTATCCAGTTCCAGGTGAAGCCTAGACAGGGAATGTCTCTGGCCTTGAAAATGTTGGCCCTAGAAAGAGGCTGGGGAGAAAAAAAGGAAGGGAGGGAGGGAAGGAGATAGAGAAAGAGGGAGGGAGATAGAGAAGGAGGAGGAGGAGGGAATCCTTACTCAAACAAAGAGCAACACTATTTAGGCTGAGCCAATGACCCTGACAAGAACTGTATGTGGAAAGCAGGGCATGCTGCAAGTTGGTCTATGTCCGAGGTTACACAGCTTCGACCAAAGGACCTCAAACGAATTAGCTGAAAACTGGGGGGGGGGGGGGGGGGGGGGGGGGGGGGGGGGGGGGGGGGGGGGGACTGGGAGTGGGTGGGATTTCAGGCAGTGGGGACCGTGAGTGCAGCGCTGCCCAGGCACACAGGAAGAGCGCGCGAGAGAGGACCTGGCCTTGTGTTTGCCATGTGAGGTTTTTTTGGTTAACTAGACACAAGCCAGGGTCACCTGGGAAGAGGGACTACCAACTGAGGGATTGCCTGGAGCACACCGGCCCACGGCCATGTCTGTGACAGACTTCTGACTGAAGACTGAAGGGTAGGGAGGGTAGGCAGTCTGGGCGGTAAGCAAGCCAGCCCACATGAGCCGAGAGTGGCCCAGTCCAGCAGGAGTGCTCCGTGGTTTCTGCCCTGGCTTCCCTCACTGAGGGGTTACGAGACAACAGTGTAGGCCAAACAAACTCTTCCCCTCAAGCTGCTTTTTGTCAGCCCAGGAGAGCAAAGTAGGAAAGTGCCACGTCTGCGTAAGCTCACTCAGAAGCTGGCTCTGAAGGTGGGGTGGCTCTCCCCTTCAGACTCCCAAGCTGATTCTGTGTCCTCTACCGCTTCTTGTTTGTGGATGGGCTGTGACGGGAAGGACGGAAACAACCCAAGAGTAAAACCGCCGTGACTGTGAGGACACCCAGAAGGCAGTCTATTTCCGACAGACCACCACTGTCCATCCCAGAACGTAACTATGGGAGAGAGAAGGCGGAAGTCTGGCCATAGATGTTCGGCCATGGAGAGAAGGTTCAGCTGGGAACTACCCTGCTTGCCTCAACTTCCCCGGGTGGTCTCTGTTAGAGGCTTTGAGCACCTGAACTGAGGGTAATTTCCTGTTGTTTGCTCTTCCCCTTGTAAACTGTACACTTCTGTTTAACGAAGAACCACAAACTGTCCTGGACTATAAAATGACTAAACTATAATATATTATAAGAGCAAATTTGTTTAAACAGGGGCCACTCTACTCTGTCAGAGATTCTCTCTACTGGGGACTCTAGCTGACGGCCTCAACGGGAGCTTCCTCAGTCAATTTATGCTGGGTGTTTTATGTACCTGCTTTGACAATGTTTTGTTATCTACTATCTATCTATCTATCTATCTATCTATCTATCTATCTATCTATCTATCTATCTATCTACCTACCTACCTATCATCTATTTACCTAGCTATTATCTATCTATAATCTACCTATCAATTATCAATTATCTATCATTATATATTAGATATCATTAAATATCACCTATCATCCATCTATCATTATCATCTACCTATCTACCTACCTAACCTATCTATTATATAGATGTCTATCATCTACCTATCAATCACCTATCATTATCTATCTATCTGTCTGTCTATCTATTATCTAGATATTATTTATCACTTGCTAGTTTTACTTTAGCTTACTGTAAACTCAATAAACATACTCATTCAAAACTAAAAATACAGCAACCACATATCATTCTCTAGATTAAATGGAACAGTCTTATTATCCTCCCTACCAGGCTTAGTAGAGTATACACCTTTCTTTCCAAATCAGAGAAGGCTCTAGTTTCTATCTGCATCTCCAGGTAAGACCTGAATTTGAAACAGAAGCCCCCCTGCCCCCTGTTGCACTTACAGATGTCTGAAGGCTATCAAAGTCCTGCTAACGGTTTGCCTCCATTCCTAAGCAGCTTCCACCACAGCTCCCAAGACGTTGGTGGTGGACTTCAAGTCTTCGAGCAACCATTTAGACACACCTATGAGGCCTGCAACTACCTTCTTTCCATGGTTTGACAATACTCATGCAGAATACCCAGTACAGGCACAGTATAACTTCCACACTTCAGAAGTTTGGCAGAAATTGCAAGAACCAGTAGAAAGCAAATGTACTAAAATCACTGAAACTGTAATATTTTCTAGAAGAGATTTTTTTTTAACAAGACATTATGAGTTGTACTCTATATTAGGCAATATTCTATTCATATGCCAAAACACTTTCACAGCATTTAACATATGCAGAAGGTCCTGTTCTAAGAGCTTTGCAAACTTTACATTATTTGATACTTAACTCCATCAAGTCAGTCCATTATGGACTCAATTCCCAGAGTCTACAATGTCAAACCAGGGAGCTAAGAAACAGGCCATTGTAATTCCTAGCAGTTCACCGGTCTACAAAGTATGCACTTTTGTGTATGTACATGTGTGTGTGTATGTGTGCATATGTGTCTGTGATGCATGTGAATGCTTGCATGCAGAGGTCGAAAGTCAGCCTCTTAGGCAGTGTTCACCTTGTTTTTGCGACAGGGCCTCTTGGGGCCTGGAGCTCCCCAGTCAGGCTGGGGTGGCTAGCCAGTGAACCCCAGGTAGAGACCCATCTTTGTCACCCTGCACTTGGATTACAAACACGCTCCACTGTCCCAGCTGTTTTTTACCATGGCTTCTAGGGATCATACTCCAGCTTGTACAGCCAGCACTTCCCTGACTGAACTATCTCCACAGACCACAAGTATACACTTAAAGACACATGAGCAATGTGAAAACCAAGGCCCAGTGAAGCTAAACATGCACCCCCATGTCCTAAGAGGGCACAGTACAGCAGTCACTTAGGGAAGGTCAGCAAGAGAAGCCCATTCTCCTAGAAGCTTGATTTTTTTTAAAAGAAAAGATTACCTAATAAATGCAAAAGTCTTTAAATCATAGGTTTTGCAATCAAAATCATGGGGGAAAAAAAGTAGTCCCAGTTGAACAAAAGGTGAAAATTAGAGGGCTTGCCTCTCCACCCCCTGGCAAGTCTGGCCTTTAATTTTATCTGGTTAGCAGGAAGCCAAATCACAGAGGCACCTATCAAAGTGTGCTTGGCTTGGACTGGTTTGGCTGGGAGAAGGACTATTTTGGCCTCTGCTTGCTGCCTCTGTGTTTCCTGGTCCATGCAACAGCCAAGACAAAGCCTGGAGCCCCCGAGGGTGTGTACAGGGCTTGGCATCGTGAGCGACAAAACTGCCACGTAGCTGTCTCCCTTGAGCAGAGGTGAACTGGGCATCACACCGGCCTGCACCAGGATCAACAGCTCCAAACTAGAAGATCAGAAAAACCTGCAGTTTTCCTCGAGGGGCCTAATCCAATGTCAAGTTTTCAGGAAAGCAGGCTGTGTATAGACCATCAGGATGAAACACGAAAATCCCGGCCAGCCGACACTGCCCCCAACTCCAGGAAGAGGTGATGGCTCTAACAAGAATGAAAAGATGAAGCAGCAACCTGGGTGGGGTGACGTAATATTGTGAGAGAACACTGGCTCGGCAGAAGCGAGATTCATGCGTCTGTGAGCTCTGTACGGTCTCATGAGAGCTACAAGTGTGGACCCTGCTGTATATTCAGAAGAGAGTCCCTGGCCTTGAATGTTTACCAGGTGTGCTCAGTTCTGTGATGGAGATGGTAGATGTAGCTAGGGGCTGGATTCCATTTCTCCCTTCGGTCCCCACTGCTCCACCCAGGAGAAGGCTTGGGATTGCCCTAAGTAGGGGCTTTGAGAAAGAGACTACCATTTCTTCTGGAAAAATCCCACTCAGGAGACCAGCAACTCTAACAGCAAAAAATGTAGCCACTATGTCCAGAGATGAGTTGGAGACCAAGGGTCACTCTCAGAACTGCTGATTTAGTCCAGTTTGTTAACATGACAATAGGGGAGATAAAGGCCACGGAGAAATACAGACCTGGGGTGAGAAGCTTGAGAAGAGCAGAGACTCGGGTATAGTTCCTTCCTAGTATTTGGAAAAGCAATGCCTTCAGGACCTACACCTCGCCTAGAGTTTCTTCTCTTTCAACTTAACTACTGGTGCCTTGAGGACACACGTTTGTCTGTGCAAAGAGAAAAAGCCTGAGCTGTGGAATGCAATGGTACCTAAAAGCTGTGCAACTTTAGGCAAAAGCTTTAGCCTCTCTGGGCTATTTCTATAATCCATAAAACAATAATCATGAGATGTTATACCCTTCAGGGTTGCTATGACAATTAAGAAGCGACTTGGTGTAAGGGGCTTAACAAAGTACCTCATCCACTGTAAGCCTCCATTTATCAAGGCAGCCCTTGGCTGAGGGCAGGCACGGAAGTGTCCCAGGCTAGCCTTTGCTGTGCTTCTAAGCAAGGATAGCAAGCATTCTCTGTAAAGCACCAGATAGTAAATATTTTAAGTTTTACAGACCAAGAGATAAAAATCAGAGATATCATGTTAAGACTTATGTAACAGAATCACTTCTACAATCTTATTAAGGACATTCTAAATTCTAATAATAACTGTATACACCCTTCAAAATATATCTGCATTAATGAGAAGACTGTAACTCATGTTGGGGAATAACAGTTTGCCTAATTAGAGATGCGGTGTAAAAGCTCAGGGGCTGTGCCGAAATTGGCAATGGAAAGGATTGGTTTTCTGTCCACAATTTGCCTACCTCTATCTTTAAGTTTTAGAAGAGGTCCCACAAAATGTGACACAAATGTCACCCTCATAAGCTGTAGCTGGAGTTTTCTCCAGTCCTGCCCAGCACCACGGACCCCACAACCTCTTATAAAATAATCACTCAGAAACTTATATTAATTAAACTGCTGGGCCATTAGCTCAGGCCTACCACTGTCTGGCTCTTACACTTAACTCAGCCCATTTCTGTTAATCTATATGTCGCCACGTGTTCCGTGTCTTCACCTGTTGTCTTTACATGCTGCTCCCTGGACGGCAGGCTGGCGTCTCCCCCAGCTTCCACCTCCCCGTCTCTCCTCTCTGTTTGTCCCGCCTATCCTATACTTCCTGCCTGGCTACTGGCCAATCAGTGTTTTATTTATCAATCAATCATAGCAACACATTCACAGCATGCAGGACATCCCACAGCAATAAGCCATAGCCAGACTTGCAAGAGGGTCAGGGAAGACATGCTATGTGCTCAGGCGCCATCATCACTTATTTTGTTTTTGGGTTTTGAGATGTTTTGCTATACAATGTGGGATAGCCTAGAACTTGGGAATGGAGGCACCTAACACGGCAGAGCTTCCAGTGCTGTCCACAGTCTGATTCAGTCACAGATACTGAACTAACAGCCCAAATGTGAGATTCCTAACGACAGGCTTGGGGAAGGTGAAAGAACACGTTTCCAGCTGAGAACCTAGCTCTTCATGAAGATCTTAATAATTCAGACACTAGGGAGTAGAGAGTCGTACTCCAGCCAAGCCACCTAGGCTAGCATTACAATTCAGCTTCTCCCAAAAAGCTACCAGGCTTCTCTCTAACTGATGTATCTCTGAGACAAGATAAAAAGATACTGGAGTCTGAACAGTAACCAGTTACCACTAATTAAGAGGTTAGGAGAGCACTTGGCATTGAGAGTGCCCAGAAACGCTGTTCAATGAAACTTGTTTGTCTTGTGATCTTATAGGAGCTGTGTGCTCACGCCCACTCAGAACTGCATACTTCCCCCCACTTCCAGACTAATTAGTAACTTGAATCCACAGCATTTTTATTGCACCCACTTACCAGTTGAGAAAAGCACATGAAACACTAGGCTTCGCCCACCATTCACTCCATTATGCCATAATAAGCAGGTACTGTGCACTACTAGATAAAAGAACTGAAAAGGACTAAGCCTCCTGTTCCACTTTCAAGGATCCCGGGTGCTGTATGCAGACAATATTATATTTTAATAATTAATTGTTCATCAAAGAAAAAAATGAGGAACAGGGATGCTAAATTCAAAGTTATTCAAATTGCAAAAATGAATAATGCATGACTTTTATATTAAATACACACTGTATTAAGTAGTCTACATTTCACCCAACTCTGTCTTTCATTTTTTAAGCATTTTGAACGACAATATGAATAATCAGTTAGGGGAGGTTTGTTTGGAAAAAGGAATACCTTATTTGAATGCAAATGAAGTATATTTGAAGATGATTAAATTTTTCTTATCAATTAGGAAATTTTGTATGAGGGCCTTAAAGTCATGGTCAGCCATTAAGTTCAGCCCAGCCCGGTTACCCTTGCAGCTTCCTCTCAACATTAAATTATATCTGGCTCATTCTGTTCAATTTCTTCTTTCTGATAGCAGTGCCAAGAGGCAATTTTTAATTAAAGAAAATTTGAAAGATTCAAACATGCATAATTGGATTAAAAATGTGATCATTAAAACATTAGATGATAATCATCTGATTGATTGCATTTTTCAGTGTGTTAATAACTTAATATTTGTAATGCTTTGGTTACATAGGGACAAAGAGGGTTCTTTATAAAACATGCTTAATAGTCAACATACAGAAGAGACCAGTGAGGTCATCAGGAACCGTGGGATTTGTCAAAGACGGCAGCACACACTGCTAGCCATAGAGAAGAGTGGGTGTTCAAAAGAAGCAAGAACAAGACAACATTACTTATTTTGTCTTCCTAACATGTACACTCCAGAGGAAAACCCAGAACATCTACAATGCCATAAATACCTAAAGTGGTTATGGAGGCCAAGGGAGAATGGTTTATAGGTTGGAGAACCTACCTGAAGAACCCAGATCCCCAGATGCAAACACAGAGAGGCCCTGGATAATGACATAGTCACACAACCCTACTGCAAAGCCACCTAGCCTCTTGATTATGTTAATGGTTTGACCAAGCACGGCATTTTAATTTAAAGTTGATGTTCAAATAAAACAAAAGAGAAATTATATGAAGATCACAGTTAGAGAAATGGATGTGGCACTTAAATTTCAGAAATTATATAATGACAAAATCCAGGACCATCTCAAGCAGATTCAGGGCTTGTCTCTACCTGTAAGGCCCTGGAGATCATAACTGACACAGTGATACATTCATATGGCTTCCTTTTGAACAACTCAAAGAGCTAATTCACAAAAGAGGAACAAGGTACACAAGAACCAACTGATTCAGACAACAAACAAGAAAGTGGTTGATGCCAGAAGGTGGCCCAGCAGAGTAGAATGAAAAGGCATCTCAGACCAGGCAGAGTGACATATGCCTTTCATCCCAGCACTCCAGAGGCAGAGATGGGCAGATCTCTGTGAGGTTGAGGCCAGCTGGGACTACAAAGAGAGAGAATGAGAGACAGAACGAAAGACAGAGAAAAAAGAAAACACATCTCGGAATTTAGTACAACTGGGCTCAAATCAATGCTCCACTATGGGAGCTGGGACAGCTCGGCTGATCTCTCTGAAGCCTCAGCTTTCCTATCTGGAGCAGCATTGTTATCTCCTAGGCAACTGCAGGGACAAAACAAGGCTACCTGTAGAAAGCACCAAGGCAGGGCTAAGTGCACAGCAGGTCAAACAGCTGGACAGATCTGCTTTGTCCTGTCCCCGCCTTCTGGCTCTTTACCCTAATCAAAACAGTACTGCTTACCACAGACCATCTTTACCATCAACATCTCCACTGTTCCCTTTCTTTTCTAGATCCTGTTGTCTGCAGCTCAGACTGCCTCGCCCTTGTGGTCCTCCTGCTTCAGCCTACTGAGTGCTGGGATCACAGGCATTCTTGACGTGCCTGGTTGCATTTCCATGACATTTTGTATGCCCCAGCAAAGTCAAGCGCCACGCATTCAGTAGTCAGGTGGAGGCAGATGCAGAACACTCCAGATGACATCACCACCTGTCCACAGCCCCCAAGTAGAAGTCAACAAGGGAGATGGTGGAGGAGGGATCACAGCTCACACTGAGTGTTTTCCATGTGCCAGGCACACTGTGTGCTGGAAGACAATGTACCTTCAAGATAAACCAAAGACCTCACCATACAGTGGAGAAAACTGAGCCACTGAGAAAGTAGGTGATTTTCTGTACATCTGGTCACAGGGAGAAATAATATTCAAAGCCAAGTCTTGTGCTCTTGGCCCTGGGGTGACAGTACTTCTCCTATTAATGTGACATATGGACAGGAGAGAAGCATGGTAGAAAAGTCACCCAAGGGAGACCAGTGGATCCCTGGAGATCTTTCTTAAACCCTTTGTTCTTTACATTTCATTGAAACAAGCATGTTTCCCTAAACTCCCATAGTCCTGGTTCAAATGCTAAAGCACTGACAAAGGAGGGTGGGTGAATGAGGACTTCTGAGGCCTTTTTATGTCTTAATGCTATTGTTAACAATGCTTTTTAGTGATAAAATAGCAATCACACAGCATCCGACTTCCTGGACTTAGCCAAGAAAAGAAACGGAAACAGTTCACATCTATGGTGGAGGTTTTGATAAACCCAAATCCAGGAAACTGGAAATGGCTTAAGCCTGTCTGTTTCTAGAAGATTTTGAGATCAAAAGCATTCAGATAGGCATCAGTCCTTCCTGGATCCATAAAAAGACAGGAGCCAATTAGCCAGGCACTGGCTGCTGCACATTTATAGCACACTTCAGGAAAGTTCCATGTAATTAAGTGCTGGAAACATAAACTTCAAACGGGAAATTTTGTCGCGTGTTATGATGCTCAAAATCACCAGTGAGCTGTAAATGTTCAGAGCTATCAGTGAGCCACAGATAACATAGCGCTGGCTTCCTCATTCAAAAGAGAGAAGATGATTTGAACGATTGCTTCAAGGTAAACATTCCAACAGAACCCTCATTAATTCGCTTGAAACACATTTGGAGTATGTGAGGATTGAGGAAAGATCAAAACCAAAGCTCAGTCTGTTACATGGTGAGTATTGACCCAACTAAGTATACTATCTGATCTCTCTCTCTCTCTCTCTCTCTCTCTCTCTCTCTCTCTCACACACACACACACACACACACACACACACACACACACACACACACCAGTGGATAGCGGCAGTGCCACGAATAAAGCAAACAAAATTCAAAATTCCAGCTTCCTCTGAGATAAGGCTGGCAAACTTTTTCTGAGAAGGCCCAGAGAGCAAATATTTAAAGCTTTGTAAGACTTATGCATTGCTGGTGACAACTACCGTCTGTACAACAAAAGCAGCCATAGATATCTGTGGACAAATGAGTACGGCTGAGTGATAAAACTTTATTTATAATGACAAGCAGTGGGCCAAGATTTGTGTGACCTAATAAAACTTTGAACAAACAAGCAGGAGGCTTGATTTGGTCTACAGATTATAGTTCCTTGAGTCCTAATCTAGAGTGCTCTGGGCAGCAAGCATCATTCCCCATGTCTGCCCAGCCTCAACACATTTATCCAAGGTAAATCATTATTCTCATTTTTCAAATGGAAATATTAACAAGAGACACAATCATTTGCACAGGATCACATAGCTTCCTAACTGGAGAGTCAGAACTCCAATTCAGGACAGCCTGAACTGACAAGAACTTCTAAAATATTCTCCATGTCTGCGGGGCTCCCATCAAGTGGAAAGTAAGAAAACACACTTATATTTTTGGACACGTGAAGCAACTTTGCAGACATATGAAACGTCAGTCTCGGTAACACCAGGAATGCCAAAGATAGAAAGGAAACTTTGAATGAGCATAAGACTGTCCCACATGCAAGGACTGTCTTTTTCCTTTGACCTCAGTGTCTTGCCTGGTGTTTCCTGGGCACTCCATGGTGGAAGGAGGAATGGACTCATCAAAGATGCTTAAAGCTCTGGGCACAAAACAAGCGAGATGCCTCAAACGAAAGGCAGCTCATCTCTGTGATGGCTTACTGCTGCATGACACAGGTGCCTATTTGCGTCCTGATCAGTGTTCCCAAAGTCTTCTTTCCTAGAATTTGTGCTTTGCTTCCAGAATTCATGCAGATATTTTCAGAAAGTTTAGCCATTTGGCCCCAGATAGTTACTTAAATATTTTTTTCTTTTTAGATATGAGCCCCAGTCATAACAATGATGGAGCAATAGCAATATATTAGAGTCCTCTGAAATACTTTTTAACCTGCTCCTTCAACAGAACCTATCTGGTGGGACTCTGTGAAGACAGAAACCTGCAGATGGGGCCACACACAGACACAGTGGCGACAGCCTGGGAGGAACAGGACCTTACAGCTGGACCACTTGTCAAGGTGTGTCAAGGTGTGACAGCTTCCCAGCATGTCTGCATCACCTGTCTGTGTGTCCTGTGGACTAAGCAGTTGACTGTCCAAGGGTTTTTAACAGATTCCATGATGCCTGTTGGGCTGGTCCGACCTTTCCTGGGTGTACAATGATCATGCAGCAACACAGAATCGAGGGGCTTTTTGTAGACTGTCACCTGCCCCCCTTTGTTGCTTTTTCCTTTTTCTAAACCCCAGGAGCAGAGCAGATTCTGGCATCTAAAGTTAGCTCTTGATGGTATGAGCCCGAGGCAGACACAGTTCTTTCACTGGTCTCTAGCCAATTAACATACAGAAGAAACAGCCTGGCCAAAAGGTTTTAGGAGAGTATTGTCACTCCCCTCGGCTTGCTGTGCGGTCTCTCACTTCTGAATTCTAATCATCCTCTTCTTTGACTGTAGAATGTAACGTAAAGGTGTGCAAAGCCAAAATGCCAATCACCCCAAAAACAGTCCCAGTGTGTGGCCTCCACTGGACTCCCAGGACACACTCCCTCTCCCACTCACTCCAAGAAGTGACCACATCTTTCATTTTGAAATAATCATTGTGTTGCTTTCCTTTCAGACTTACCACTGAAATCTTGTAAAACCTTGTTCCACTCTCCCTCAGCTTCCTGGTTATCAAATACGCCATGCTGCTTGATGGTCCACTCCTTTTCATTGTGGCAAAATGCTGTACTGTATGATTACAATAAGTTGTCTTCGCCTCACCTGCTAATGAATGGGCTTTGAGGCTTTTTCAGCATTTGGGTAATTGGAAGTAGCAATGCCACAAATATTCATCTGTTGCCAGGCACATTTCTGAATTTCTCTTTGCATGGTTTTCCAGAGTGGCTGTGCTAACGTATTATCACACAGCATGTACAAAAGTCCTGGGTATTTGTACCACAGCTAGCACTCAATACTTCTGGCAATTTAAGTATCAGACTATGCATGCTGATAGGTTTTTGTTGTTGTTTAAAGCTTTGTAGATGGGACATAGTTGAGAAATTAGTGTATCAAACACATGAACTATTTTTTAACTCACAAAGAGCCAAATGTACAAATCAACAGGGATACCAGGTTGAAATTGTATTATAACTAAGCAATTACGCTCTATGAGGTGTGTCCAAACACAGATGTGAATATGGCCCAACACAAAATAATAAACTTACTTTGGAAATCACGTAAGTTTTTGGTAATTTGCTTTTGTAAACGCAACTGTGTGATTCTCAGGTATGAACTTACGTGTGACATCATCATGTCTCATTTTGAAAATGTTGGCATACCCATATAAACAGGTAACAAAGGACATTTTTACACCCAAGAAAAGCCCCGAGCCTCCCCGCCACCTCACTCTCCCATTCTGACTTGCATCGCCTTGGACTAACTGGCTTGTTCTTGAGCTTAATATAAACAAGCCATGCAGTGTCTGTTCCTCTGTGCAGGTTGGTAAGTCGTCATTTTTTAACTGCCGTACGTAGTGGGCTACAACCTACTAGGCCATGGCTAGTACATATGTTCCCACTGCTGGACACTTGGTATTTCTAAGTCTTTTGTGTGGCTGTTTCTCTTGTGCACACACTTAACCCTGAGACTGCCAGATCCGAGAGTGAGGCTCTCGTACACTGCAGCTTTCTGAAGGGGCTCTTCTAACCAATTCACTACACACAGCCGTGAGATCACAATCTCGTGAGATGGAGCCTACCTGCTGTTTCAGAAACCCTCCAAGTCTGGGCATGTGTAGAACTAGAATTCATTCTTTATTGGTGAAGCATCAGTTGAGTCAGGTGCGATGTGAAAAAAACAGCGAATACACTGGCACTTGCCCTCACCACACGGCAAAGCTTGGCTGGGGGCTGTTAACTTACACAATTTTACTTGCTCACTCCACTTTCTGTTCGGGGCTTGGAATGACTCCAGCCACTATAGGACTTTGTCCACAGACTAAGTAGAAGATGTATCCTAGGGCAAGGGGAAAAGAGAGAGAAGCACAAGGCAGATGTGCCAGGAAAGGTGTTGCATGGCATCTTCCTCCGAGTTACAACATTCCCCTCACGGGGGAAAGTGGAGGCCCAGGAGCCCCGGGAGTGTAAACAAAGGTTTCATGTCTGGAGCACAGAAACTTGGGAGACTCTTGGGGGCAGCTGTTAACACTCTTAACAGTATGAAAGTGCGTACCAGTTGCTTGAGCTGGAGACTCTCACAAGCCAAATCCAGAAAGAAGGATATATTTGGATCTGGGAGCTGGCTGCATGGTGTACACAACAAGCTCAGGGTCACAGCTTTCAGAAGTCATCATCCATGGTGGAATTGATTTCTGCATATGCAGCTGCTTTAGAGTTGTCCCTGTTCCTTGTAAGTAAGCCCTCACTTACACTCCTGTTAGTAACCCCAATACAATGTTCACCAAATTGTTACCTTGGTCTGTCAAGTGAGTGTTGCATCTCCCCCAACTGTCTGTGGGGTGAGTGCATGTGAGTGTTGCATCTCCCCCAACAGTCTGTGGGGTGAGTGCATGTGAGTGTTGCATCTCCTCCAACTGTCTGTGCGGTGAGTGCATGTGAGTGTTGCATCTCCCCCAACTGTCTGTGGGGTGAGTGCATGTGAGTGTTGCATCTCCCCCAACAGTCTGTGGGGTGAGTGCATGTGAGTGTTGCATCTCCTCCAACTGTCTGTGGGGTGAGTGCATGTGAGTGTTGCATCTCCCCCAACAGTCTGTGGGGTAAGTGCATGTGAGTGTTGCATCTCCCCCAACAGTCTGTGGGGTAAGTGCATGTGACTGTTGCATCTCCCCCAAGAAAGTTTGTCGCAATGTTGTTTTGTTTGACAGGTCACTTGAAGATCTCCTGAGAGACGGGTCTGCCATCTTGTCCTACCCATAACTTCCACTGACAAGAAAAACTTGCCAGAGCCTCATTCGGGGGACATCTTAGAAGTGTGCTCCCAATGATCAGAATTTGTCCTTTCCCAGATAGCTTTCTTGGAAAATCCAGGGAGGGAGCAACAGAAGACGTTAGATAGAACAGCTATCCAGAAAATGGCCCGTGCAAAGTTTTGTTGTGTAGGGCAAATTGCTGTTTCTAATCACCCTTACATTTCTGGGGCAAAAAAGCAGCCCACCTCACATTAAGAAGGAAGAAAAAAGTGATGGCAGGTTAGGGGAGCTCGGGAAGGAGGGGCCAAGAAACCAGGCTCAAGAACCTAGTCATTGGCATCAGCAGGTTTCCATTCAGAAACAAAAGCACTGGGGAGGCAGAGGCAGGCAACTGTGTGTCAGTTTGAGGTCAGCCTGGTCCGAGGAGGAGGAGGAGGAGGAGGAGGAGGAGGAGGAGGAGGAGAAGGAGGAGGAGGAGGAGGAGGAGAAAGAATTAGAAAAGTGGGATATTTTGGTAATGAGAGAGAGGAAGTATCGTGTTTCCATGGATTTTGACAGTGTGTAAAATACATACAAAAAGGTGGTGGCATCTGTTTGGGTGGGTGCTTAAAGGCTCAATAAAAAACATGTATGCCCCAAAATTTAGGAAAAATACATACTTTCAGCATAGAACTAAATGCACATTTCTCAGTTAGGTAAAATGAGTTACATGCCAACATTTCTATAAGGCTGCACATGTACCCTGCATTTTGACATCAGAAAAGTGCAAGTAAGAAACAGCACTTCGCCGGGCGGTGGTGGCGCACGCCTTTAATCCCAGCACTCGGGAGGCAGAGCCAGGCGGATCTCTGTGAGTTCGAGGCCAGCCTGGGCTACCAAGTGAGTTCCAGGAGAGGCGCAAAGCTACACAGAGAAACCCTGTCTCGAAAAACCAAAAAAAAAAAAAAAAAAAAAAAAAGGAAAAGAAACAGCACTTCATGTGGCCTGTAAGCTTCTAGAGTTTATCCCTGCAGCCATGGAGAAAGATGTCACTGAGCTCGAGTCCCCAGGGCACCACGTCGTCTCTCCCCGCCACCAGACACTTCATCTAAGCTCACAGTGCTGAATCCGGAGCGTGCTCCCAGCCTGGAGCATCTCTTGCTCGGCACTCTTCAGGCCTACACTTGACAGCTCCGCATTCCCAAGTCTGAGCGAAACTGGCTACTCTTCAAGCACTGTCTGTTAACCACAGGCTCCTCCCATGCGTTCAGACCCACCCCACACCTAGCTCGGCGGTGTCAATCACCACAGCAAGAACAGATGACACTACTTATAAGATCCACCTAACATTTTAGAAGAAAGGATAAGCAGTAGAGCAGCCACTGGGAGGGGATCAGGTGGATGACTTTGAAAGGAAGCAGAAGAGCTCTACGCTATCTGTAGAGTGGCCCTGCGACACTCCTTCCAGAGACAAGCTGAGGTCAGGTCACATCTTCCAGATTTCACGGTGTCTTCGTGGAGTACTCCCACCATGCTGATCCAGCCAGTGAGCACACACAGCAGGGAGTCACAGAGGCCCCTAAGGATCCTATGCCCGGCTCCATGTGGGGGCAGTCTTGGCTCGGGGGTTCTCTGATGTCCTGGCCAAGACTGAATACAGCCTCTTGCTGCACCTCTCAGCCCTATTCTCCCCAGGCCATCTTTCCCCATGAGAAACCTCTCTTATACTTAAAACTCCATCTTGGCATCTGATTCACAGAGCACCCCTGTAACCAAGCGCCAAGCATGCAGTGTAGCCAAGATCAGATAATTACATCTCAGCTGAAGGAACAGAGAAGATTCTTCTTACTAACAACAAAACGTCAGTTAATAACAAATTAACTTTCTAAGATGCGACCCCTAGAGGTTAGGAAGTCAGGCCGCTTCAGCAATCCATACTGACTCTGCACTTCACACATCGCACCATCACTCCCTCACCAGAGAATCCGTGAAGAGCGTAATTAGTTATGCTCCTTCAAATCAGCAGATCACACAAACCCCTCACAGGACCGTCAACCAAAACCACATCTAATTCAACAAAAGAGCGTTTCAACTCTTCAAGATGTCCATCCTTTCTGGGAGAACGGCACTCTCTTCTGACACCCCCACCCTGCATTTTCACTTTCTCTTCTCAATCAGAGCCAAGCCTCAGTGGTCTTCAGGTCCTCCCCACCCCCACCCCCCACGTTGTTTTCTATTTTCATACATTAATACTTTCACTTGTATGAGTGTTCCTTTCCCTGACTTAGACATTACTTGTGATTTACTGAGTAGCTGCTGCCTGCCAGCTGTGCTGTGTCATCCTTTGGCCTTTATTGAGGCTTACACTTGGGGAGGTGTTGTAAGAGTAAACAAGCAAAGAAGGTCTTCCAGATACGTTTGAGAAAGAAACCTGGATGATAGGACATAAAGTGATGGGAGTGGAGGAGTCACTTGACAGACAAGATCTGAAGGGAGACTAGCAGGCGGGCAATGGAGACACCCTTGGTCAACATGCAGGAGAGGAAGAGAAGTGTGCCAGCAGAGGACTTCACAGGAGACATCTGCAAAGACTTCAGGAAGAGAGGGGCAGCACCTCTCTTCCTCTCCCTTCCCGTAGGAACTGGCTAGGGTGTCTCTATCTATGCCCAAAGCCAGGGCTGCCTGTGGTCAGGCACACATCTCATTTTTACTCGAGAGATGTAAACTTTCTTGTCGGCAGACACTGTTTGCAGCTCCTTCCTGTCAGAGACCAGGGTAGAACCCGGAGTCGCTGTGTCCCTAAGTCAGACAGAGTGCTCCTATGTTGCATTATTTGCACCCCTCTCTGAATAACTCATACCCAAGGAGATGGCATTAGGAGGGGTTTGGGGAAGGCAATCCCCGTCCTGAGGAAAGAGTCCTCACAGATGAGATATGTGGAGACTCCTCAATGGCAGAGTATTACCACCAGTGAGGCCCTGGGTTTGAGTCCCAGAAGGGGGGGGTACCATTCTTAACATAGATTTGGAAGGGAGGGATTCAAGCTGCAAGTGAAAAAGCTCCATGGGATGCTGTCAGTCATCACACACTCTTCCTTCTTTGTCCATGTGTGTGTTTAGTATGTGTGTGGTAGATGAATGTGTGCAGATGCACACGGTGTGCACGTGCAGAGCAGAACTGGGTGTTTTCCTTGATTGCTCTCCACCTTGGTTTTGGAGGGAGGGTCTCTCGTGGATTAGGCCGGGCTGGCTGGTCCACCAGTGAGATCTAGGGTTATCTTGTCTCTGCACACACCCCACCCCAGCATTGGAGTTCTGACATATGCTGCCAAGCTTGGCTTTCTATGTGGGTGCTGGAGATGTGTGTGCAGGTCCTCATGCTTCTGGGGTGGACACTATACTGACTAAGCCACTGTCCAGCTCTCACTTCTCTGTTTTCACTTGGTTTATTCTTGTTACCTGCTGCATGACTGAACAGAACAATTAATGCTCAATCCAACTTAATCAAACTCCAATAACAAGCTTAGTTTCCCTGGAAGAGGTATTTGTTAAGCTCTACAGAGTTGGCTCATGTCAGCAGACAATCCTCTCAAAAGGTGTGAAGACATTTTATCACGGTGGTGGGAATGCAAGGAGATTTATTATGGTTACTAATGCTATTTTTGTCAATGTCGTTGGAATTCTAATTAGAATATTAAAACTTTACAAATCATTACATGAGATCCAGACTCAACACCTTCCTGCAGCAAGGGTGCTTCTGAAATGAGAGCATCCTGGTGCCACAGGTAATGATGCATCGCTGATAATAAAGTTGCAGGGAAATTCCGCCAATAAACCCAGCTGGAAGAGACAGAACCCATTCATCTTCCTTCCTCTCCCAGGCCTATGCCTGAGGATGTGATGTCTGCTGTAGAGAACACCAGCCTCGCCCTTTCCATTTTCGCAGCTGCATGGTGCTGGCTCATAGACTGTGAAGTTTAATGGCTTGTTCTGGCTACTTATATTTTCCCTCTTAAATCTGAGAGGCAAATCAAAAATATTTACAAGTGACAAGACACTTGAAAAAGGAATATTTTTAGGAGAGAAATGAGACAAATGGCAGATTCAACTCCTAAAGCATCATATATCTTAGAGCATTTTGATTTACAACACATGCATTCACAGAAATGCCTGGGGGAAACAAATGGCTCATTGTTAACCCAGGCCCATTTGCAGGTTATAAATGCAGGTGCTCTTTACTCATGAGATAATGGCTCTATAGCCCTTGCACAGCAGAGGGCAAGGAATGCCACCACCCTCTGTCCTCTGCAAGATAACCTGATTCCTTCAGGTGAAGATCCCAGCCCTTCACTTTCTAGCTGAAGGAAGAAGATGGAGCTTACTCACCATGATGTACGACGCCCTTCAACCCATGGATAATAGGATCCAGTGCAGAATTGTCCCTCGGACTGACCTACATGTAAAGGAAACACGATTGGTTAAATCTGTCCTGGCATCAGCTACAACAGCCTCAGTTTAATCTTCTAAAGAGAAGGGGAAAATGGATGCATCTAGCAAGCTGTTTAGGTCTCACATATACCATGGTGCTCACCAAATGCCAGAGATTTATGACACAATAAAATCAAGTGAGGAAGTCTAAATCACAACAAAGAAACTTCTCAGAATACATTATAACAGGAGAGAAATACCACCTTCTCAGCAAAGCCTCAAAAAGCGACTGCTGTTTTATTAAAAGTAGTCATGATCGGCTAAAAAGTCATTGAAAGTCATCAGAGAACAATCCATCATGGACCGAGTATTCCACACCTCCTGGTGGTTGTGTTTTCCTGTTCTCCTTAGAAAATGGCCCAGTTCCCTGTCAGCTCACTCTCCTCCGTAAAGACCCCAGTTCCCTGGGAAAACCCATGTTCTCTGTGAGCTACTTTCATTTTCTAAAATTGATGCTTCTCCAAACCAAGCCTCATTGTCCATGGGCCCTTCAACTTTTAGATACTACTTAGCAAATTATTGTCTTTGCTAGATGAAAATATCCCAGTATGCTATAGTTATAATTTCAAGTACTTTCTCTTAGATAGGTACAATAAAATATTTACAAATGAAATATAACAATGTCTGAAGTGTGCTTTAAAGTAATCTAGGAGTGGATAGCAACTGGAGAGTGGGAAGACATGCCCAATCACTTAGGACCTTGAACGACAGGCATAGGATGTGTCATGATATATCCTTTTTACTTCTATGTATGTCCTTTTTCTCCCCTAAAAATAAAGAGCTTTTCAAAATCCATTATCTGTGGTTAGCATAGTTCCTGCATTTCTTCCCCTTCAGGGACTGCATTTCCTATTAATCCACTTCTCACATAATGAAGTTGAGATATTGATGAACCTTTCAATGTGCAGCAAGACCCAATTTGCTGTTTAAAGCTAACTCAGAGGAATCCAGAAGCAGCCAATGTTGAATTTCTAGGAACTACAAAGGATGTACACCACTTCCAGGTTACACAGATGCCTCCAGCCCTGTTGAGCTGCCATTTCTGACGTGCTCTCTTGGAGAATAATCCACACTTCACACGTTTCCTTCCCTTTTTGCTCCTGCAGCTCCAGGACACAGCAGTGGCTCTAAAATGTAAACTGGGACACCTCTGCCCCCCTAAGGCAACATGTGATCATGCCCAAGACATTTCTGGTTGTCACAACTACAGTAGATGAAGACAGGAGGGAATGGGGCAGGATTCTACAGAGCCCTTGACATCGAGTGCGAGAATAGGACTGCTGTTAAACATCAATGATGCTTACGATTATACCCTAAAATGAAGAATTACAAGATGTTGAGGTCAATGATGTGTTGAAGAACTCAATGTCTGGAGTCCCAAGTTACATCTACCTATTCAGAACACAGTGGCCATTATGCAGTATTATGTTTATAAACTAAAAATGTAACATAATATGGGAGTTGGTACTACACTGTAAACACTACAGATGAGGGAAGGAAGAAAGAAGGAAGGAAGGAAGGAGGGAGGAAGGGAGGGAGGGAGGGATGAAGGGAGGGAAGGGGAGGGATGGAAGGGAAGGGGAGGGAAGGGAAGGGAAGGGGATGGAGGGAAGGGAAGGAAGGGAGGGAGGGAGGGAGGGAGGGAAGAAGGAAGGAAGGAAGGAAGGAAGGAAGGAAGGAAGGAAGGAAGGAAGGAAGGAAGGAAGGAAGGAAGGAAGGGCTGATCGACAGTAAATAAGGACTCAGAGTGTTAGATCACATGGGTGAAATCCTAGAAGTTGCCATGACTGAGTCTCCATATTGTCTGACAGGGAGCCCAGATCAGGGCAGATAGTGATTAGAGAGGAAAACATTCTTAAAAAGCCAACGTATGGCAAGTATTCATAGGATATACCAAACCAGAATTATATCTGAAGAAATACTATATCTCCATCAACCAAGTAATTGATCAAAAATTTAAGCCATGGCCCCCAAAAGGGATCACAACTCAAGACTATAAGATAAGAGACTCTCATCCGTAAATGTGGTCACATTTCAAAAGCCCAGAATAGAATAAGAGCCCAGAGAAAAAGCCACAGCTGTAGGAAGAAGGGTGTTTTGGATGAGTGTCCTTACCGTGTGTTTAAGGCTTTGTTTTCAAGGGGTGCTATGGGAGGTGGTGGAACCTTTAAGAGTTAGGGCCTAGTTGGGAGGTTCTTAGTCATTGGGGACATGCCCTGGTGGGGCCTATGGGACCCTAGACTCACCCTCCTTCTCTTTTAGCTTGCTGAGTGATGACGTCAGCACTACTACACATTCCACCATGTAATAGGACCTCAGGTCTACAGTAAGAGGGGTGGGGCAATCAATCATGGACTTGAACACATAATATGAGTCAAAATAAATCTTTTCTAAGCCAGATGTCTTATGTATTTTGTTATGCAGCAAGAGGCTGACACAGGGGAGTGGAAATGTTCATGTGAGTCTAATTGCCTAAACTCCTAAAGTCTATGAAGAGATGGGGAGGTGGCCACAAACCCCTCACCTCCATGCCACACCTCTAGAGCCGGGGTCTGCGGTCTTCCATCAAGAGTGTGTATCCATTTTTCCTACTTTGGAAAGAAAGTGTCTATCTTATTGTTTGGGGTTAGGGAAATCTGGTGAATGTAATAAAGGCAGATGCTATTAAAGCATTGAGACTATAAGGCCACCATGAGAAGAACCGCAAACTAGCTTATCACAGGCTAAAAGGGAATAGGGAGTGAACATGGGCAATTCCTGTGAGCAAGTCCACTCGAAGGCACGTGGCCTCCGCTGAACACCTGCAACTTGTGTACAGCTGCTGAGCTCGCCTAACCAGAGAATCCAGGAATAACAGTATGACTGTGGTTTCAACCAATCAGGGCCATTTTTCTTTCAACAGAGCGAACTGTACACATGGGAGCCTCTGTGACTGTGTGTAGAGGCTGAAGTTGGAGGAATGGCCATGATAATTTTCTCCACCAATACATGTTGCTTATGCTGTGTTGTAAAGTTTTCTAAACAAGATTACTTATCAGACCAATTCAGCTGACTCAACCCTTCAAAACAATGGTACCCTTCTGCGGCCGATGGAGGCAACGGTCCTGAAACAGTGTGCCAAGGTTCACTGTCTGTATTTCATTCACCTACAGCCAACTATTACCTGAACAGATGAAATGGGAAACTCCTAGCAAGGTGTGGTGATGGGCCTGTCTAATCCCAGCACCAAGAGATGGAGGCAGCAAGCTCAGTTCAAGGTTATCCTCAGCTACAAACGGAGTTCTTAGAAATCCTGGACTATATGAGACTCTCTCTCAAAAAGCAAGCAAGCAAGGAGGAGGAGGAAGAGGAGAAGAAACTTAAAAAAGAAACAAATAATTCCTAAGTTTCAAACTGAACACTGTTCTGGGTTGGGGATGAAATCCTCTGATGTCTAGAACATAAATGAGCCACTGCCCTGTGTGCCCACATGGGACCAGCTTCCTTCCTGTTGGTCCCTTAGTTCTCACATCTCAGGTCTCAGATCAGATGTCCCTGCAGTGCTTCTGTTCAAGTAGCCCTTATTTTACTCACTAATGGCCCCAAATACCAGAAAAATTTATTACAGTACATTGTTAGAATTATTCTATCATTAGTTGTTTGTTTGTCTGTTTTGTGATAAGGTCTCACACTGGCCTTGAACTTTCTAGGAGACTGAGGATGACTTTGAACTCCTGATCCTCCTGCCTCTACTTTCCAAGCACTGAGATGACAGGGATGAATCTCCATGCCTGCTTTCTAATCAGATATTATTGTTAATTTCTTACTGTATATACCAATCAATTAATTAATCTGTCCATTGAACTTTATTGTAGGTATGCATGGGTAGGAAAAATATAATTATGTTAGGTCTGGTATAACCTTCAGGTTTCAGCACTGCTTTGAATGCAGCCCTTGCAGATAAGGGGGATTACTGTACCATGATGCTCCATCCAAGAGGAGAAGGGATGTCTTACAGTCAGGGGCCCCTCAGTGCATTTAGTCTTGTCTGATGGTGTGAAGGCTCAAAGGAGGTGTTCCTAATCCTCCATGACTGACACCCACTGATAACATACAGTGGAAAATAACCAGGCAAACTAATCCAAGCTCAATTTCTGTTCACTTGTGATTACAGTACCTTTGAGTTCAACACTCAGACCTGGTCTCATCTGAGCTCAAAGGCCTGAGCCCAGATTCAGAGCAACCCCACAATTGAAAGTCTCTATACAGTCTCTTCAGCTACCAGTGAGAAGACAGGCAAGGAGAGGGAAAGAAAATGGAGCTGTTGGCTAGTCAAAAAAACTGCCTAATAATACGAGCTCATTCTCCAGTCCATGGGCGGGGAATCCAAACTGCATGCTAATAAGTGGATTTGTTCCAGGAAGGCAAAGCCCTCACTGAAATAATCCCTTCCACTGACTGTTTCAATCAATTTGCCACTTAAACAAAATTGTGGATATCAGCTAAGCAATGTGGGCAGCTTTTCAACGTGATGGCAGTGAACAGGGTGTTCTAGCAACCCGTGTTTACATTCTGGTTTCCGTTCCAGCTAGAAGGAGGCCAAGAGAGAGGGTGAGAAAGATGGGACTCTAAATCAGGCATGAACCCTCACAGCTTCAGTGTCCACACCCCTGCAACGGGGACTGACAGTGGAAAGCACCGCTCAGCATGCAGTGTCTGCCTGGGTGGGTCCTACTGGATAGCAAGTCATCCTGAACCCTTGCATCAACGGTTGCCAAACAGCAGCCGTCCTGCCCAGTATCTCTGTGTGCTTTGCGGTAAGGAAGACCACTTTGAGTTCAAATTTCAGAAGATCTGTGTTTTGTTTGACATCCACTCAATTTTGTAATATGCTGCTCCTTTCAGAGCCACATGAGTGCTTTCCTGGCTTTTTAAACTTGCTTCCTTCCGCTTTAAGATCAAAGCAGTTGCATGGTAATACAGAGA